AATTCATCGAAACTCCTAATGGACATTCGAAAATAATTAAAAAATTTGGAGCTATCCTCTCGTAGCTCATGAAATAATGTTACAAGTTCACCCATCAATTGTCTGTTTTCAAGTAGTGGATGAATCCAAAATCTTCTTGTTTTTTGTGTTTTTCTGCGATTATGCCATATCATTAGTAACAACATGCGTTTTTTTCTTTCGTCCATTTTGGTCATGTATCAAAACAAAACTAAACCGTGAAAAACCGTGTGCAGTGTGAACGCAAAGCAAAATGAAATTACGGCACGGCACGGCACGGTTGCCGTTAGAAAACCGTCTGTGTGAAAGCAGGGTTAGTCTATCTTGGAAAACTTGTAAACAGTCTTTTAATTATATGAGCTATCTTTGCATTATGCGGTGGGTGGCTCTGGTAGACACAATAGTCGAAGATTTCACCGTCTGACCCATTTCCGAGTGAAAGTTTAAACATTTATGGGGCAATAAAACGCTTTGAGTCCTTGATGGACCTGCACATCACAATACTTGGCCTTCTTGCTGTCAACCCTGACCAATTTGTGTAGATACACATATAATTTTTAGATAGATTTTAACACAAAAATAGTCTTAGAAATACATAAATTTTTACGTTATAAGCTGTGTGATCCCTGGGCACCTATTGAAAAGTTGAAAAGGGCGAGAAAAGTTGTTGTGAACCTAGATTCCTTTTTCTGCAAGTAAACCCTTTACTTTTTGAGCAGATGCGTCTTTTTATAAATACAAACTATGTAGTATAACCTTTTACATTAAAGTAAACCCTCGAAACAAAACCTTTTCCTTCGCTTCCTTTTATTCATATACCTTGAAAGAATTGCTTCAATGTTTGGAAGCAAAATGTAAGGCTTCTTTTTATAAATACCACAAATTGTTTTGCACCAACATAACATTAATAAAATATTACGTTATATTTGATAAAACTTAAATCCTAGAAATGCATCAAGTAACGTACACTGAAAGTATTAGAGAAAAATGCACAAAAGTAATCTAATCAGAACTATCTTCAATATTGACTGTTATATACCTTTACATAAACGACTTGAATTGTCTATTACTCTTCAGTATCATTCAAAATGGGGCCTAATAACAAAGTCATATTGTTAAGACTAATTTCGCTAATTAGTTTGATTACATAGTGAGTACCAAGTAGATTTACTCAATATTTTTCCATAATCAAGAAAATACTCTATTCATTCAGTAAGTAATAAATTTTTTACACAAGACATTTAATTTTAGTACAGAATGTGCTTCAAATTACACTTTTTCTTCTGATTTTCTGCTTGGCACTGCAACATCCTCCTATCAAATTGAAGGAGCTTGGAATGAATCAGGTAAAAATCTATTTTCCCTTTAAGGATGTTTGGGAGGTACAATCGGAGATAAGAGTACATAAAATTAGAAATTCGTGATTAATTAGGTTTTGCAGCATCTCATGAGGTAAATAAATACTATCTATACTAAAAGAACAAGTACCTATACGGTTTGAGAGAAAATTTGGAGTTTGACCAAAAACTTTGAATAAAATAAGAAATAACGAATAATATGGAAAATTTTTAACTGACTTTTGGCAGTGAATATGCCTTGATTTCAACTTCGAAACAAAAAAATATTTAGTTTCAATCTCTATTAATAATGAGCGTAAAACTTTTTAATATGTTTAAATAATAATTAAAACTTTAAAATTGCATTTATTTCAGACAATTATAAATATTATCATTATATTATCAAGTAAAAACGAGATTTTCAGCTAATTTTTCATTTTTTCCTCGATAACCATTTAGTGAATTTGAATAACCTTACGCTAAAGTGATTCTCCAGAGTTCAAGTTACTTATTATAAAAGTTTGAAATTTCTGGTAGCTTTTTTTCTGTTAATAAAAATAAATTTAATCTGTTCGGTTAACGAATCTCCATAAAATGACGTCTAAATTACAATTTTTTAAAATTTCAATAACTTTTTAACGGTTTAGTGAATCGATTTGTAATTTTTAAAGGAGTTTTAGAATTGAATGAGGAACGTTCTTCCAAATTTGTCTCGTAACATTTTGACATACCTCCCAAACATCCTTAAAAATGATTTAAATTTTGTAGTTAAAAATACACTAAACTTACATATGCAATTTGTAAGACAAATAAACTGTGAAATTACAAAAATATTTCATTATTACTAGGAAAAGGTGGAAACATTTGGGATTTCATAACTCACAACACTCCCGAGTACGTTTATGACGAAAGTAATGGGGATATTGCTTGTGACTCCTATCACAAATATGAAGAGGACGTTGCTCTCCTTAAAGAATTAGGAGTTGACTTTTATAGATTTTCTGTCTCATGGAGTAGGATATATCCGAATGGTTATCCGTACAATCCTAATGCAGAAGGAATCGCATACTACAACAATCTTATTGATGCTCTTCTCGCCCAAAATATAACACCCATGTTAACCATGTACCACTGGGATCTCCCCCAACGTCTTCAAGAATTGGGTGGATGGACAAATTCATACATGGTACAATTATTTACGGAATATGCGAGAACCCTTTTAGAGAATTATTCTGATCGTATTAAATACTGGATCACAATCAATGAACCGTACCAAATATGTAATCAAGGTTATGGAGAAATTGCATACGCCCCAGCTCTAGGCATGTCAGGCAGGGCTGATTATCTATGCGCTCACAACTTACTTAAATCTCATGCTGAAGTTTATCATCTTTTTAATGATACCTACAGGTCCAAAAATAATGGTTAGTATACATTTAATTTACAGTAAAAGCTCTTTATTCGCGGAGTATACGTTCCATAAATATGCCGAGAATACATAAATCGCGGATATGGAATGGTAATTAGTATGGAATCATAAGGGATTCGTTCTAAGGTTCCAAAATAAAACCAATATGTATCATAATAAAATCAATGTGTTTTTAAATTCGCAATTAAAATAAATCCTTATAATCAGCTTTAGGCAAGAGTTTAAGAAATTTAGTGTTTTTTTCTTGTATTGAATTTTGAAATTAGTNATAAAATGGATTTATTGAGAAATTCGCAATTAAAATTAATCGTTATAATCACCTTTAGACAAGGGTTTAAAAAGTTTAGTGATTTGTTCACTCGGTTACATCTTTTATAAAAGTCGCCTCGGCACTAGCCAACAGTACTCAAAAGATCCTGATACGTTGAAAAATAACACCAAATCGTTTTCTACTCGGTTAGATTTTTTACAAAAGCCGCTTCGGCACGTACCAACTGTACGTACTCAAAAGATGCCGATACTTTAAGGGGATTCAGATTACCGGTTCTAGATATCATGAGTTTAATGTTTGGAACAGAGGTTTGAAATTTTGTAGTAAGATAGATAAAGCTTTGTTCTAAAGTCTGTAGAAGGCCATTTTTTAATTTTTTAATTTCTATTGAAAATACGTGTCCTACACTTGTAAAAGCTTTTAACGATCATATTATTGAAAACTAAAAACGTACCGAGTTTGTGTGAACCTTTGTCTATTACCATACAAAAAATCGCATATTTATCTCGTAGCGTTAAATCATAATGTTTAGAATAGAAACCCATGTTTTCGGAAAGATTCACACTAGGCACGAGCGGTCTATTGCGGTCAATCCCCTTAATAAATGACACCGAAACATTTTCTGTTTACCGATTGCATCCGCGAATAATGGAATTTTTAGCCGCGAATAATGAAAACGCGAATAAGGAAACCGCGAATAAGGAACTTTTATTGTATCAATACACCTAATCCCTGCAGTTAGTTCTGAACATTCTATTGACCGTTGTGGTCCCAAGTTACCACTGAAGATGCCATTAACCAAAGATGTTATAAAGTTTTAAAATGCATGATTGGATAGACAAGTCCAGAACTTAATTATCAGTTTATTAGATATACTCATCATAAATACTAGTACAATAACCCATGCAACCAAATCCTTATTTACAAGATAAATAAAGTGATTTTTAAAATTCCATTTAAGCTACAATGGGTATTACCTTGAGTGCTTCATGGTATGAACCCGGCAGCTCTGAAGAAGAAGAAGCTGCTGAAAGAGCCAGACAATTCAGGGTATGTAAAGTTATAGTTATGCACTACATATACATATTTAAAAATGCAATGTGTTACTGTTAATTGTTGAAGTTTCGTTTAAATTATAATTCATTATAAAGTTGGCTTTAACAAGTATTTCAGTTTACGTTGATTAAAATTACTGTACACGTTTACCTAGTTAACGCTAATTCTATGGGTTTTACTAAAATAGAAATTACAAAGAGGAAATAATCTAAACTAATTTAACCGCGAAAACAAAAGCCGCATTACTTTATAAAATTTCTTTTGTTTTGTGACTTTAGATAGGCTTGTATGCGAATCCCATTTTCTCTACAAACGGCGACTATCCGCAAGTAATGAAGGATTACATTGGTAATCAAAGTAGTGCCCAAGGTCTCTCAAAATCCAGACTTCCCCAGTTCACTTCGGATGAAATTGAATATATTAAGGGAACATCCGATTTTTTCGGATTGAATCATTACACCAGTAGATTGACGAGAAATTCACCAGCAAGTAACAATTCAGTTTCATTTGACAATGATCTGCAAACGGAACAATGGTTTGATTCTAGTTGGCCAATGGATGCAGCTGGAAGAAACGCGGTAGGTACACTCTTGTGCATTAACTGTAACCATTGCTTCAATACTGCATCTTTTAGATTGTTCCATGGGGCTTCCGAAAGCTTTTGGCGTGGATTAAAAACACATATAATAGCCCCGTTATCCATGTTACAGAAAATGGTTGTCCAGATTTTGGAGAATTAGAAGATAATGTTAGAGTCTCTTATTATGGGGTAAATGAAATTAATATGATCCAAATTGTATAAAAATTAAATTTGTTTCGCAGTCATATCTTGAAGCACTTCTGGAAGCTATCAACGAGGACTACGTAGATGTTCAAAGTTATGCTGCTTGGAGTCTAATGGACAATTTTGAATGGCGGTATGGATACGTGTACGTACTAACCTATCTCACTACCTTTTTTATTCGTAGAAATAAGAATAACTCTACTTATAAATTTTTAGATACCGATACGGACTTTATTACGTCAATATGACCGATCCAAATCGTCCCAGAATAGCAAAGTCATCAGCTGCCTTTTACCAGGACGTTATCGCCAACAGGGTAGTTGGAAGCTACCCTTCGCTTTCCTGAAATGATTTATTGTGAGGAAATATGTTTGTAGCTTTCTTAAATAAAATTTAAACTTCAGACAATCCTGTTACTTTAATATTTTTGCGGTTAACTGTTACAATTCCAAGGGGAACGTAGGAATATATAATTTTTGATTCAAAACTGTGAATGGAAATGTTTTATGATATTTCAATGATTTAAAACAGAATTTATTTACAGAAATTGATAAAGGCAGTAGTGGTTGAACACACATTTCCATAAGTTCTCATTTGCAATAATTACTATTTTTAATGCTTTAGTAATGGAAAAGCCAAAATTTCATCTAATAATCATTTTACTTGATTTGATCGTATAAGAAGTACCAGCGTTAAATCAAATCTTCCATAATTAAAATAACTACTGTATTACTTCAGTAAAAAATTATTTTTTTACGAGAGATATAATACATAAGTGCTTCAAACTATACTTTTTAGTCCTGCAACTAATCAGGTAAGAATACATAGATACAGAATATAGAAAGTCAGGACCATCTTCATATTCAACNTGGCTGGTGGGAATGAAACACCTAAAAGTTTTAACCAAAGGTTACCACCACATAGATCAAGACCATTACTCTTTACGGATTCTAACTCTAGATTTTTTATCAATGATAAAGCGGCTGTTTATGCGGTCAGAAGGTTTAAGGATACCTCCCTGTGTACATACTTTTATTAATTACACCGTTTGATTGAAGTAATTTAAATTAATTAAAACAGTTAACAGTAAACTGTTTGTTTTAACAAAAAAGCAGGCATACAAGAAACAACCAGTAGTGCTTAACTTATTAGCACCAGTCACTTAGCATTTTTAATTACTATGCACACAAAATTAATCCGTATAATGAAACTATAAAATTTAAATATCGAATGTTATGCAAATCCTTAGCTCATTCAACTAGTGATAAGATATCAATGTGCTGATTAAATGAGTGATATAAAATTGCATGTGTATACATATCTTACTTAATACACTCCAAACATAATTTTCTTAGGTTTAAAAATAAGGCAATAAAAGTGTAAATAATTAGTGCAATATATTACGATAAAATGTGTTGTTAGGTCAGCCGCACACTAACGACATCTAAAATATGAAATGAATTTGGAAATTATAATTCCCATGTAGGTATTTAATCTTAATCTTAAGGTAGAAGATGAATTAGTTTGGGAGCATCAGTCCACTGCAGTCGTTATATTTTTGAGAGAAAAATCTCAAATACGAAATAAATTCTAATTAAAATTCATAATAGAGTTGGGCATAAAACATACAATTAAGCCTTCATATACACAAGAAGGCATAAGTAATGTAGATGCTGCTAAGTCGATGTTAGCATATAGAGGTTATTGAATCTAAAAGAAGGGCACTATTAATAACTAATAACATAGATAAAAGCTTTGTGTTCGGATACGGTTAGCCTTGTAAGGGCTCGTATCAGGCAATATCCTGCTACTAACTATTAGTAGCACAGAATAAAGCGGCACCACCAAAACTAATTAGCGGTGCTATTTGTTGTTAAGATAGACGCAGTTCCATCGCTATTCGCCGAAACGTTTGTTGTTGTTATGATTATGGTTTTTATATAATGACAGATTTAAATAGATAGATGGTTTTATAATCTTTAATCTTATTTGATTGCTTTTGGTTTTAACTGTACATTCTTTGCATCCTAATTTACATTATCGTGCATATTACAATTGAATCTTCTCTTGGAATTTATAATACAATAACCACCTATTCAATGTTTACCTGACTGTCATAGTTAAAATCATATTAGGGTCCTATTTTCCTCTCATAATCTTTTCAATTGTACTTATCATATTTACCTGAAATGCAGTCATTTGCTGTAAAGTTTCTCATACTATCTAATTCTATCTCTATCTATCTTAAATTGTTCTTCTCTTTCTCGTTTATTTAAATACATGTCCGAAATTTTCTAACTAGAGTTCATCAAAATTCATCAGTAAGCACGGTTCTCAATACAACGCATTTAGTTATGAAGATTGGAAAAACTTTGGCAGATTGTAGAACAAACAGAATAGCTCAAAAACCCCAACGCCAAAACACGACACTGTAGTTGTCCGAAGCACTTTTGAAGTAAACAGTTTACTTCAGTCCCTGAAGAAGGTAACTTTGTTACCGAAAAGTTCTTCGGACAACTACAGTGTCGTGTTTTGGCGTTGGAGTTTTTGAGCTATTCTGTTTGTTCAACGCATTTAGTTATTTAAGTTACAATAGTTGTTCATATTTTTAATTGTGAATAGTCTCGATCCTTTAATAATAAAATTAGTAAAAAAAAAGGTGTAAATTTTATTAAAGGAAAAATCATCAACCAGCTGTACAATATTAAGTTGGCGTACAGCAGAAGCTGGGATAAGTTAAACACCGACTATCCTGCTTCAACAGACGCATAGACGTTAAATTTGCTTTTGAAATTTGTGTTGCGCTTACATCTACTGTACACTTTAATTTACTTATACATTGAGCCTATTTGTTTGAAACTATCTTACCCTGCTTTCACACAGACGGTTTTTTGCCGTGGCCGTGCACGGCAACCGTGCCGTGTATAATAGTAATACATTGGTTTATATGCAAGTGTTCACACAGCACGGTTTGCTGCCGTAGCCGTGCACGGCTGCCGTCGCAGCACGGCATGAGGACTGCAACGGCACGGCGCCGTGGCCGTGCACGGCAACAGTGAGACAAGCAAGTGTATAGAAGTATTCACACGTGCCGTGTGTTCACACGGCAAAAATTGTTTTCAGGATCGTTTTTCTCTCTGAATTGTGCAGTTAACAGAAGAAATTATATAGTGTGGCGGATAATAACACCGCTATATTTAATTTAAAACATATATTTGACTAAACATTATATTACACCCTTTTGTAAATATTTCTACTCGAATTCTTTTGTATCTGTCTTTCTATTATTATTATTCTCTGTGAAAATATTTGGAACAGTGTATTCAAATTGTTTTGTATTCAATTCTATCGCTATCAATAACTTTTATTACTTGTACTTTCCAGTAATCCC